GCCCTGGGACTGTTCTTTAAGAGCTGTTCGGTAGATTGACTTGGCAGCTATCACAACACTGAGCAGGGAACACCAGCAGACCCTCGAGCAGGGCCAGCTCTTTATTGCTCCTGTGAGTTCCTGGCCATAATGAGGGCAAAATTCCCCTGTCTGTCACACCGTGGGGTCATACGCTGGGGGAGCATCAGTGTGCTGAGGACATACGTCTGCTCCCCAGCCATCCTCTGCTTCACAGCCCACAGGGTATCACTCCGTCTTCTCCCACAGGGGCATAATGGACAACTCCAGACTGTCTGACTCACTGCCTGTTTGTGTATGAGTAAAGAAACAGCTTTAAGGTCTGTGTGAGAATAGGTGTACAAAGCATCCCTGCTCTGCTTCCCTGAGCGAGGGGATATTGTATTATTTGTGCCGCTGAAAACAAATCACCTTAATGTGCCCTCAAACTCCACACTGCTCTGCCACAGCAACAATCACGAGCTATACAGCAAAGCCAAATACTGCTTAACAACACACTCTTAATTGATTGTCTCAGCATGAGTCTTTTGCCTTTCGTTGGACAGAACTGCTCCCATCTTTTGGTTGAAAATGCTGGCATTAGAAACCATACAGAAGAAGCCATCCTTCATTCTTTGACTTCTCTGCTTCACAGAGAAGGGTCGTGCCTGCTGCTTTCTGCTATCGAGGATCTCTGGGAGAATACAGGAGTAATAATATCTGGGAGGAAGCTGTATGCGGCTCTCTGTGCCAATGACAGCCAACACTGCATTGTGACTGTTTTAAACTAGAATATTTGAAAAGAATTCTAGCTACTGCTGCAGCATGCACTCACACAAGTGAGTAAGAATAATTCTGGGGTAAGCCTTCGGTGTCAGCGGAGCTGTGAATGTGCCGGGGCAGTGACAGAGAAAGAGTGAAGTCGGTGCTGAAGTGAATGTTTTATTAATCAGCGGATTAGCTGCAGACACTTCTCCCCCTCTGTCTCCTCAAGCCCTGCACACTCACGTTCGCATTCCTGTATTAGTCTCCCTCCATTGACCCTGTTCTGTTTTCACTATTCCAAAACATGCATTGGGAAACACTGGCTAAAGTGAGCTATGTTTGACACATCAAAAGAAGAAGCTCTTTGCAGTATAAAACAGCCATCTCTGTTGTGGGAATGCCTCAAAATGACCTGTTTGTCAAGAGTTACTGACTTTGTGGGGACACGACCAAAACACATGCCAGAACCCCAGATTCCTCATGAAGAGCCACAGCAGGGTGGTTTCATTCAATTAACAGTATCGTTATTTATACATATATCTTACAGCGTCTTGCAAAAATCTTCACCTTCTTCCAATGATGTCCCCATTTTCTTGAATTACAGTTGATTTTTAACTAAAACCTGAAGTGAACACTTTTCCAATTGAGAGAAGTTAAATGTCAGCATAAAATGCAGAGAAAAAATCAAAACTAAATTATGTCAATGGCATTTAAATAAAGCAAATGTTCGTTGTACATACTGTATATAATTATTCACTAGCTCGTAATAACGTTTACCTGAGTCAATACTTATACACACAACAATGAAAACAGACTTTATCACAGAGGTGTAGTTTCTCATATAAGCATAGATTGGGAAATCAGGTGAAGTTAATACTACTTCTCTACCTACTTTGCGTTCAAAGTTGCATGATTATGAGAACTTGAATCCATTGTATTTATTTTTATATGGGTCCAAACCAGTTGGTTCTTCATACACAGATTGAGCACCCACCACTGTGGTCTCCACCCATGGCTCTGGAGCCTATTGTAAGGCACAGTGCTGCATCAGCATGTACAGTCCTAACATCTCCTAATATGAGGACTCGTATCGATCACCCTTGAGCCATTCTCCTCTGGAAGCCAGCACTTTTGCCAACAGTAGCAGTAGTGCTCGGCTTGAGGACTTTTTCTAGTAATTGCAGCATTTCCTTCTTATCCACTGGGACAGTTTAATATCAAGCCTCCATCTTGACTTAATCCCGTTTGTCACTTTGGCCCTGATTAGATGGTGACCAGCCAATTACAGGCTCGTTAGTTCACACTGCTGGCCAAAGTGGCCTCCATTGTGTGCCAGAATAATCAGAGCTCATTAGAGCTCCATTGGGTCAATTGATGGAGCTGCACATCTTTTTTTAATTAGTCATACAAATGAGGCAGCAGGACCTCTGCAACCAGCCCTGAATTATTCTGTTTGTTTGGGTGACTCGTGATTTGAATTTGCAGAGCCAGATGTTCAGCAGCCCATGTCTATGGGCAGGGAGAGGCGCTCCTCAGGGCTGTGTCTGACCCAGGGGGTCAGCACTCACCCACACTCCTTCCTCTTCTTCCCCTTTCATTTGTTGTTTATTTTAATCTTTTTTGGCAATCTAACGGGATATTTAAATTAAGGTATTCAGCAACACATACAGATGAGATGCAGTACAGCCCAACCCCTGTCATTGCTATATAACTTGAACTCCTGTGAGTGTTCACATGGTTTGTTAGAATTTAAAGTAATAGTCCAGTCATGTATAGATCATGCCCTAGGGCACTCGCACTGTGGGCTCTCTTCTTTCCTTCCTACTCGAAATCCTCAAAAAGCCAGTGAGCTCATATATTCCCTCCTGCAAGTCAAACAGCTGCTGTGGCACTTCTGGGGTTTCCAGATCCTGCTTGGGTTTTGAAAGCATCTTTCCTGTGAAGCACACTAAGTTGTAAAATCGAGACTTCTAAACTGCTGAGGTGCCAAAAAATAAATCGGTGGTCTGTGAAGTCCAGCTCACACACTAAGACTGATCTTTTGACAATTCTTAAAAGGTGTAGTATATCTTGCCTTAATTTGGTTAGACAATCGACTCATGATCAATAGATTCACTTGATTTCTGGTACTATTAAATCATGAGGCTCGTTCTTTGGGCCTTGATCAGCAGGTCCATCAGACAGGATGTAATTCTTGCCAAATGAACAGACCTTGTCCTGTCCTTCAGACACGTCAAAGTCAACCATTTGGTCTGAAGCTTTGACTTACTAGACGATTATTCTGCTGAATCCTGCAATGAAACTAGGCTTCAGAGGCAACTTAGTGAGTATGTTCTTCCTAAAACTGGGTCTGCAGTTTGGTTGAGTTTCATCTCCTATAGACTCGTTCAATCTGTGATATCCCAACCGTATCAAATTCTCACTTTAACTCACTCTCTTACCTTACCTGTCTCGTTCCCTGTCCACCTCACTCTTTCTCTCATTCCCTCTCTCCTGCAGCCTCAATGAGCGCGCCCATCTGCTGACTCGAGTCTTCAAGAAAACACCTTCCAGCCTCGTTCGATCTAACTCGGTCCAGCAAACTGTGTCACGTAAGTCGCAGAGCCCTGGCAGGCTGAAATCCAGTTTGGATGTGACCTATCGATTTGCTTTTTATTTTGACGGTCACATTTTAATGCCTTCTCTCCACACTTAACAACCATGTGTGCTTGGTAACAACACAGTGAACCCGAGGGCTATCAGGAGCCTGAAACTGCAGAGCAGTGAATTTAAACAAAGAACCACTTTATGCAAAGGGTTGTGGGAGTATGGAACATGTTTCCCAGCCACTACCCTGGCTTCTTTCAATAAACAGCTGGATGGGATTAACAGATTGAATAGAGGCATAATGAGCCAAATTACCTCCTCTTGTTTGTAACCTTTCTTATGTTCTTAGGAATTCTGTGTAGCACAGTATAGCCCTTTTGGATTTAGTACGAAATAGCTTTTCTTCCACACCCAAGGTTTACAACAAGGAAAGATTTTCTGTTGTATCATATTATAATATTCTTGCACTTTTCTTAAAACGAGGACTTGTTTTGTCTGATCATTAGTTTGAGTTTCCACTGAGTCACTTCTTCCCTTCTGTGAAAGTTATGTATTATCTTTGTTTTGTGAAAGTCCCTGAAATTTGCAACAGTTTTAAAACAGAGATCTGGGGTTTTCTGCTCCTGTCCTCTTGTTTATTTTGGCCACAGAATAACACGTGTCAAACAGCCTGAAAGAAGCAGCTCAGCACCAGATACTCCAGCTGCCCTCAGAAGGTCTTGTTCAGAGAGGGGATCTGTGTGCAGACAAACAGGGGCTCCAGCATGCTTTGGGATTGGATTTCCAGGCTGTGTTTTTTGTGGGGAGGGTTAATCAATTGTTTTCTTAGAGCCAGTCCTGAGCTCAGATCCTCTCTTTTCTCTCCAAAAGCACACCAGAAAGCATGTTCGAGCATGCACAGACAAAGCTTTGCAGTCACACTTGCGGATTATACAGGCGACACAGGTGATTTGGGTTAATAGTGCTCACACAGAGGAGAGGGGTGAAAGCACACAGCTATTCTGAATAGATAGGAAATGTCATTATTCCTCCTTAAGCAGGCCGATGGTGGCTGACGTCTCCGCACCCTCTCTTTTCAGATGGCTATGCCTTCTCTCAGGAGGAGCATGGCGCTGTGTCTCAGTCTCAGGTTGTGCGCTCCTATGACACGACTCGGAAGCGCTCTGAAGTGGAATAGTGTCCAGCGGCCACAGGACTGCGTCGTGGGCCGCCACAGCCACAGAGGACTCAGAGGTTTCACCGTGGGGAAAACTGCCACCCGCCAACAAAAAGACATTGAATGACACGCTCATTTCTGTGGCCTTAGCCAATAGCATACCTGTGGAATACTGATTAAACATCTCAGACATAAACCTGAGTGACTCGCCATCATGGCTGGGTGCTTTTTGGGGTGTACTGATCATTTCTAGGCAGGCTGGCTGATGGGATTGCTCATTCCTGCTTTGTCCCACTCCTGTCCCTTGGTCCAGGTCTCTGTACTGCAGAAGGAGGTCCTGCACAGCTGCACTGTGCCGAGCTGCAACAGCTGAGATCCCTTTCCATTATTCAGTCCACAGCACCTCCCGGGTTCCCCACTCGACTCTCATATTTCCTTCACACTGTAGCTTATTCAAGGAGAGGAGAGAACAAATGTATTATACTTAGAAAGATAACGGGTGTTTCCCAGGTCAGTGCAAATACAGAATGTTAATGGTGACACAGACTGTGCAGCCTTCCAACACAGTGGAGTCTCTGAGTCTTGACAAATCTTGACATACTGGTTGATTGAGTTAAGGACTATAAGGATTGTCTAAGTGCTGTTCCATGACAGGGGGAGCTGATAAGGTCTGTGCTGGTCTGTATTTATCTGTGACTTCAGAGGGAATCCCACACTGCATAGTGTAGTTCTGCCAGTCAGGTTTGAGGTTAAAAGGGAGAACTGTCCCTGTGGGTGCTGCCCTGGGTAGTTTCAGAAGCCCTAACCTTGCCCAGGCAGATCAAATCTGTCAAATACTGTTTGCAAACAGTGAGCTTTTCCTCTGCATGCCAGCTCGTCTAATTTCTGTGTTCGAATGCCTCATGACTGAATGCGATGCTGGGATTTGGTTTTCACACCTGCCCTGTGGTGTGACCCAGGCATTGTCATCGTCCACCTGAGAACCCTACCAGTAAGGCCCTGCGCACTGCAGGCGCCTCCTTCTCCCCTTCCTGGTTTTCTCTCCGTCTAAGCCAGGGTTTAACACGTCAGTCACCGCGAGAGCGGCTGGTTTTGTGTCTTCAAACACCTGCGCGGAATTATTTTCATTGAGCTGACTTTGACGAGGACGAGGACAAAACAATAAATTCCATCCACATCCGTCTTTGTCCTGGGACCAGCGAGCACACGCCCTGGGAAAAGGGCGTTCTGAGGTGTTTTTAGAGCTCCTTCCAAGAGACACGCCGCGGCCGGATATTGAAACCCAAAGCAAAGACCACGGTCTGGCAGAGTGGAAAAGGCGCCGCTCGCGCCGCAGACCTGACTGGGTCCTAAAGCTCTTCCCCCTGGCCGGGGATGCCTTGCGCTGCCGTGAAAGGATCTATATTTTTCAGCCAAAGAAAGCTGACCCCCGTCACAGAGGCTTGGTGAAGCTTCCTGTTCAAAGGCGCGTGTAGTTGCGCTGACCGGAAGGAAGACTGGAATGCCAGGTGGCTGGAAGCATGCAGTCAGGGTTCATTAAATATTCCTGTGCCTCTTTCGAAGTGTTTGTTCGTTCATTTGTTTGTTCAGCGGTTTGTAGTGATTGCGCACATAGGGTCGGGGCGGGGGGGACGAACTGTTCCCCGGCACGAACTGTTAACTACGCCAAGTGAGAACTGGTCAACTCAAACTAACCCCGGCGCCTTTCAGCAATAGGAGAGGTTGCAGGCAGACCTGCATTGTGTAAAATCCCTTTGTGCACCGTGCAGCAGTACAATAACAATATTTCTATTACACTTGGTCACATTTTGATTTGCCGATAAGAAGGATATTGATTAAAGGTCAATTTAATCATTACAAGTATGACAACGTAAGGGATTTCTTTCCGAGCTGTTCTTTCTCTTTTTACTGTAACGTTGCATGTCAACCTGCTCCACTGTAAAGGTAAAAAGAGTATCCTGTTGTTTGCACATTGATTATTAATTATAGTTTTAATACTCAAATGAGTCTGTTTTTCACTTGTCCGGTAATCTTTTATTGTTTTACAGATGATCTTTTTAAAAATCAAACATCTGCGGGGAATGGTCAAATTGTGAAGTCCCACCAAATGCTGATAGATAGATGTTTAGTTGTTTTTTATGTTTTGATTATGTGGTAAGATGTTATGACCCTCAGTCTTATCTTGGAATTGGTGAATTCTTCTTGCTCCTAATGGTACAACAATGTTTAATAATAAAGCCTAATAGTACAGTAATTACAGCAATGTGTATCAATTTAATTCTCAACTCTTAATCTGAGACTGCAGCTGGCCTTCGGCTCAGCTCTTAGCAGGTAATTGGTGCCCAGAGATGTAGTCCGCAATACTGTAACGCATACGGCCTCCATTGCTTGCGAGAGACGGCTTACCAGCGCAGTGACGTCGCCGCCCTTCCCTGTGGATAGCAGGGCCCGCAGCCGCCGGGCTGATGGGAGATTTCCCTTTGGCTCAAGAGGCTGGGTCCCTGCTGAGTGACGCCGGGTTCGAGCCCCCGACGGTGGGGGGCCGACCTGATGCGGCAGGGGAACCCCGAAGCGCTACAATACTAACAGGTCAGTGAGCTTGTTCTATTCCAGGAACAGCAGGAACAGGCAGGTGGGATTGAGAGGGTTACAGCCCTGCCTGCCCTCAGGCTGGTTATAAAGTTCTGTGGTCTGCACTGATGAAGAGACTGATTGCCTTGCCAATTAAAACTAAATACAATATGATGGAAGCAATGTTATACAACAAGGACATATTCCTAAATGCATGCGCAACTCTGAAGGTCGATTGAATTGTCCCTTTTATCCATGCTGCCTTTCCTGTCATTCATAGGAGCAGCAAGCTGAACAGTAGCGAATTCTCCCTGGGCTTGTCAATATGAAATACAGGTGAACACTTCTGTTTTTTCTCCCTTGACTCAAGTCAAGGGAAAAGCATTTTCCCCTTAGCCCAGGTCCTGCAGAGTTGTGTGCAGATGAAGAGGGAGAAACATGAAGCTCTCTTTTTTGGGATTGATACCTGGGATCTATCTGGCGTATGGGAGCACAGAACTCCCAAAACATGTGCGAGTCCATTGTCGGAAAGGTGTGAATGGCGCGCAGCTACAAATGTGTCTGATAGTTAATGAACAGCAGACATCAAATTGAGTTATCATGGTGCTTGCGGTATATTGACCAGACATGCGCTTCACTAGCCAGTGAGTTAAAATGAGGAACGGAAATAAAAGGCACACCGTGCCAGAGAAAGAGCCTGGCTGGTCTGATGCATGGGTTTGACCCCTGTAAGGTCCCTGGAGAAAAGAGATGGTTTTGTTCTCCTTTTTCCTTTAGTTATGGAAAGCAGTTCCACTCCTGAAGGAAATCGTGTTGCTGGAAATATAGAATTTGGAAAAAAGAGAGAGTAATTGGGGCCCCCGGTGTGTACAAGGTAGTGTCAGGTGTGCAGCAGTGCCAGGGTTATTCCATTTTAAGATATTCTCCCTCTCCCAAGGTTTGCTGTGCTGTCAAGATCGGTTCCAAGAACCCTGTGTTTATCCCCACCACGGGTGTCTCTGTGGGAGATGCACTTTTCCCAGCGTTCCATACCAATCCCGATACTTTTGCCTGCCCTATGGGAGCCTGAATCCAGGAGCTGAGCCCTGAGCTGATCTGGCTGTGCGCTGTGACGGCCTGTCAGCAGGTGTGCCCAACTAGCGCTCGGCCCTTCTCGTCGCTGGCTCTCTGAAGCTTTTGAACAAGTTAAAAATAGCCCCCCGAGGAAAGGCCTTTTATGAGAAGTGCTCAGCTGCCAATTTCAGGCGAATTTTCAGGGTGCCGAGAAGAACCACCCAGCGTAGCTGCCGCGTGAGACTTACTGTTATTGTTCTAAACGCTCTCGTACAGTTGAACAGCTGCTCGTTTTTTCCAAAACAGTTCCGTCACACGGTGGGTCGATCGTACGAAGATAATATGGGCTATTGCTAGATGTGGGGGGGGGAAAAACCAACATAAAACATAAGACTTGAGCATTAAAGCCCGTGGAATATGAAAGGAATTTTAACGGAATATGGAGGCACAGGGCACTTCCCAGAAAGGGAAGAACTCGGATTGTGGTATCGTAGGTGTGTGTAGCACTACAGCAGTGTCTAGGTGTGTGAGGTGGAGTAGTCTTAGCAAGACCCCCTTTCTCCTCCAAAACAACTCGGCTGTTTCCTGCATCAAGACAGTTGTTGGAAATATGAGCACACAAACCATAAGGATGATTTTACGTCCAATGTGGAGAATGGATTCCCTAATCCATGCAGGGGGAATGTCTATCTTGTCAAACCTTTCCTAAAACTCCTCCTGTATCCCACTTTGTTTCGTAGGCGCTTTTCACTGGGTTGGTTTCCATAGAAACCTGCAAAGGACTAACATAAAGCTCCAAGGAAAATGTAGCATCTTTTTTTTTTTTGGTTCTGGGTGGAATAGTGAGAAACAGTGCGCACGCCTGTGAACCTGCAAAGCTTCTTTGTTCCTGTGCCGGGCCTGCGAGTGGGATGAAGGACTCGAGCACGGCCCCGGTGGTGGAGCCCTGAATTTTAATGCTCTGGGTGGCTGTGATGAGGCTCGAAACAAAACTAGGACATGATTTCCAGTGACTTATTAGTAGCTGATTTGTGAATTCTGAGACCCAAATGTTTTTTTGCTTACAATTCTTAAGACTATTTCAAATATAATTGAACCTACGATGGTTTCTTTGACAAGTATATCTGTTTTTAAGCCATCCAGACTCATTATTATTATTATTTTTATTACAGCCATGGCAGAGAAGGTACAGACACCGAAAGGCCGCAATTTATTCCTGGGTACAGTGAGCACAGGACCAGCCTCAGCTGAGTGGAGCCTACAGGAGGGAGTGGAAACACAGAGGAGTTCAGAGATGTATGATGGAACCAGATAATTTACAGCCTTAAAAGTCAGTAACAAGATCTTATATTGTATACTTGACTTTATGGGCAACCAGTGCAGAGATTTAAGAATAGGAGTGATGTGCTGTGAGGGTCTGGTGTGAGTCAGTCATCTGGCTGCAGTTTTGGACATACTGTAGTGCAACCTACGGAGAAGAGTGTTAGGGAGCACACAGAGTAAAGAGCAGCAGAAATCAAGTCTCGATGTTATACAGTACATACAAGGATCAGGCACTCAGCATTGGTCAATGATAAATGTCTCATGTAGGAGATATGTCTAAGGCGAAATAAAGACGGCTCTGAAGACAGAAAAGGACTGCAGCTGACGTGTGAATTGGGAGATCATCCACCATTACTCAAGCTCTCCGGCTTTTCCAGCTGACACTATAGTGCTTACAACTACAAAGTAGGGACTAATTTTGTCCAGTTTTATTAAGTGGTAAGGCATGGGTCCTAGAAGCCATCTTTCATGCCAAGATGCTTTATGAATATCTACCTGGGCAAACGAGCGTAGGGAGATTTTACTGTGCATTCTGAATAATTGTCTCGTTGTTATCCATCCTGCCCCCTATTAGCTGGGCTTTGCGCTGTGCTGTGCTTGTAGCGACACTACTCCCTTGCCGTTTTCGTGAGGAGCTGCGCTGCCTGCTAGTGAAACTACAGTCTCTCTCTGACCCGCAGTGACACTGACCCCTCTTCACAGGAGTCGCAGCCCAGGCCCCTGGAATGCAGGGCTCAGAGCTTCCTCACTGCCTGAATAACACCCCAGCAGGGACTCTTGTCCCATTGAATGAGAACAATTCACGAGTCCTGGACAAATCTGTTCAAGTGAATCTTTCCTTCAAGAGCCGGCCCTGAGGAACAGCCGGGGAACATTTTAATTGCTGTGAATGACAAGCTGGGAGACAATGAGCCTGAAAGGAGCCCTGTGTTTACTACAGCGTTTTGTTCCTGGTCTTCGCCGCAGTCCCAGGAACATCTGTATCTTGTCAGCTCGGAGAGAAACTGAGCACAGTGAACATCTAGCTGGACACTTTAAATTAAACAATGGCTACAGATTGGTGTGAACTCCCAGCTGAGTACCCCAGGACAGACCAAGGAATTTCCCCAAAGTTTCCCTTCAGCTTCCAAAGGCGCTGTGTTAAAGAACGGTGACGATTAGCTGGTCAGATGACAATCCCAAACTCACATCAGCACCTACTGAATGGCCTATTGTTTTTAATCTGTCATATTTATTTCTTGCTGGGTAAAAAAAAGCAAGACATTTGTACTGACAACACATGTAGAAGAGGAGACGGCACAAATAAGTTCATTAAATCTTCTTTTGGAGGGAGAAGTCCCACGCTAACCATGATAATGAAATATGAAACCAGCATTATATTACTCAGGAACAGAGAGCTATGCAAGCCATATTCTTAAGGAATCTTGAATTAAGTTCAGTCAGGTTTTTCTTCTGAAGTGGTTGCTCACAATTCTGGGACCACATTCTTTCTTAAAAAAGGCATTTTCTGGCTCCAATTATTGATTTATTTTTGGAATACTTATCAGAGGCTTTTTTTTCACTTGGTGCACTGCACTAAAGAGATTTGTGATCGCCTGGCTAAGACTCACTTGGCCAGGTTCAAGTCTTCTACCAGACATCTAGAGAGAGGGGGGTTGTAGTCTGGAGCTGAGTTTCTAAATGCTTTTCAGTGTGGCAGTTAATGGTTTCTTTCCCATTGTAAGTCTGCTTCTTTGTTCTTTCTTACACACACACACACCCTGAGAATTGAGGACGTTGTACTGTCAGAGGCAAGGAATACAGTGAATAAAACATGGGCTCTGTTCAACTGGAGCATAAAATATGCTGGGCAGATTTGTTTATGAAAAAGGGTCAACATTTTCCTACACAGTGTCTGATCTGTTGTCCGACTGGTTGAATTAAACTGAAAGCACACGTCATTCCACACCATAGTATATTTATTATGAAAAAAAGAAGTTTTATCTCATAGAAACCTCTGTCACCTGGGGAGCAACTGTTGCCAATGTGAGCATCATTTGACAATGACGTACGTTACAGTTATCAAACAAAAAAACAGATTTTGTAGACCTTTTTTTTAAAAAAATACAGATGAAAAGAACATTTCTACACAATAAAGCTTAAATATATATATATATTTTTGTGCAAGTAAACATACAAATTGTTTGCCCTGAATATCTCACATTGAGAAATGAGAGAGAGAGTGGCACAGTTCGGTTTAATGGCAGCAGTTGGATCAGTGAGGCAGATTGATGCTGTGGCTTCATACAGTCCCAGTCAGAGCATCTGACACATTCAGACCAGGAGATCAACACTACAGCAGGAACAGCCAGACCCGTCAGGCATTATTGCTGTATCGGTGTCGTGACCATTGCATCTGAAGAATTACTGCACTGAGGCCTTTGCAACCTCAGACCATTTCAGATTCAGTACAATTCTGTTAGTCTATGTCCAAACCGTTCAGACCAGCACAGAGCGGCTACTAATGTGCTAAACCTCTGCTTCTTCTGTCAGCTTTTCAGTAAAGAAAAACCCAGCCTCCGCTCCACATGTGCTGGACAAAAGACCCTGGGTACATGTGTAGGAAAAGGGAGTCCTGCGAGACGCAGAGACATCAGCAAGGGTGAGCGGTTCTGTCTGTGGGTCCCGAGGACGCCGCTGCCCCTGTCCGCCCCTCTCCTGTGGCTCAGCAGAGTTAATGAAGTGGAATGGTGTGTCGGCCAGTGCACCTGCCAGCTGTCAGTCTAACTCACAGTAATCCCTGGTGACAGCAACACGGTTCACAGTGCCGGAGCCAGACGGTCACACGGATCTCTGCCACACCGGGAGATGAGATTCAGAATGCACTCGTGTCAATAAACACTCCTCCTCGTGGCTTCTGATTCGGAAAGCAGACTGCGTCTGTGACTGCGTCTGTGCGCTCAGGCATCAGGGGCACCTGGATACAAAGAAAACTCCAAAAGGTGCAAAGGCTTGCAGCTACTGTACAAATGGTTTGTGCCTGTTGCGAACTTGTTCTCGACATTTCTTTTCTGGGTAAACATGGAAATACCTAAAGAACCCTGCGATGCGCCTCTTATCTGAGGTCGCTACAGACCTGCTTTTATTCGTGAACAAAAAGCAGACGACTAGATCGACACGGACAACATAGCTGTAGTTTTTTTCTAACAATTAAAAGCAGAAGATTTGGGAGTTGAGCACTGTGGCACTGACTGCTTTCACTTTATAATTAATTTGTGTTTTGAGCCAAGATGTGCTTTTACTGTGGCTCTTTCTCATATCCATGTTCACGCAGGAACAGGCGGACATGTGGACACAGTGGTGGCATCTGGTTTTCTCAGCGGTCCATTAACCAGGTTGATTATATCAGTATGCTCTTAAGACTATGAATTAACATTGCAATACTGGTACGAAACAGGGGTAGCAGCTAGTTTCCAGGTTACAGCTGGGCAAACCATGCAATGTCTGAACTTAAAGGAATTCTAGCTGTCAGGGAATCTGGGATTTAGGGATCCCTAATCTGAAGTGATTTCGAGCAGATGACAGTGTCGTGCGACACTCTTCCAGTTGTGCACTGTGACGGATCAACGGCGGCGCTCAGTCCCCTGCTTACGCCCCTGTGATTTGGCCTCAGGCATGCCGTCTCCGCGGGCGCAGCCCTTTCTCCGCCTCTCCGGATGAACGGCGGCAGCACACGCGCCACGGCGCACTGCACGGGCACAGGGCGACATCGCCAGCGCCGAAGCAGAAGCAGAAGAAGAAGAAGTCGGATTGCAACGTGGCGTGAAGAGACGAGAGAAGCCCACGCGCCCCTCCCAGTCCTCCCTGAGGTCCTGTGGGCTTGGACCCTGCTCCCTCTGGGCGTTCCCCGTCCGGGACCGGCAGATCCAGAAGCGGGGCCTCTTCCTGCCCCGCAGGCCCCGAGCACCGCTCTGCGTCCCTCCCGCGGGCCGGCTGTGAGCTCCGCAGCCCCGCGCCCCCCTCACACCGTCACGGCCGGGTGCTTCTGCTCAGAGCTGGCGCCGCCGGGGGGGAAGGGGGACTGCAGGGGCCTGTAGCCGCCCTGGGCGCTGTCCATGAAGGCCGGGGCGGGGGTCATGGCGAGGGGCTCGTGGTGCACCGCGTAGCCCAGGTACTGGGGGTGCAGGAACTGCCCCTGGTGCGGCATGATCTGCGTGGCCTGCTGGCAGTTCAGCACGGAGAAGTTGGTGGGCATGTTGACGTAGACGTTGCTGAGGCCGGCGTCCGGCGGCAGGCAGCAGTTGGCCTGGGCGCGGACCATGGGCGGCCGGGCGGCCGAGTTGGCGCTGGAGCTGGAGCTGGTGGCCGTGCTGGACTGGCGGGAGGAGGAGCCCCGCGGGGCCCCCGCGCCCGCGATCATGGGGATGGTCTCCATCAGCCGGGCCCCCCCGCCGGGCCCCCGGCTCTGCTGTGGCTCCTGCTTGGGGCGCAGGCAGCGGCAACAGCACACCGCCACCAGGGAGCCCAGGATGACGAAGGCCACGAACACCGAGCCCACGATCAGGAAGGGCACGTAGATGGGCACTGCGGGGGAGGAGAGAGAGACGGGGAGGTTACAGAGACTGGCGCGCGGCGGTCAGCTCCACAACCCCTGCGGACTTCAGGACCAGGGATGCATATCCCAGGGGCCTGCGGATGCCATTCTAGCTGAACGCGATTAGAGAACAGCGGGACCGGGGACGGAGATGGCGAAGATGTTCGGCAGCGACCGGGTCAAGGCTGTTGCCGACACCAGCGGAAGTGGACCCACAGGCTGAGACACGCACACATGCACGCACACGCCAAGAGAAGGGATAAGACCTCCCAGCTCCTTCGTTGTAATCATGAAATCTCATGGAAAAACCCTGGAGACTGGGGTGGGCGAGGGGAGGAACTAGACGACCCTGAAGCACCTGAAGTTTAAAGTAGTGCACAAGAAGGAGCAACACTCAAAAACGCTGGGCTTGCTATGGGATCCTGTCCCAGCTGCTCCCTCCTGAATCACAACCCTTGGAAAAAAAAAATCAGCTGGCAATTCTCCCCGTGACTGTGAAACAGAATTACCTGCAGTTTCTAAAAGCAGGAATTTCAGCTGCACCCACGACAAACTTACACTTGAAAAGGGGACAGCCTGTTTTTCCTCCTGCAGCCAATCACTGCTGTTTTAATTAAAAACCTGACAAAAAGTCTTTAACTGCTCTGGGAGGTAATCAGCTCATAACATTTTGATCCTCTTTAATCCAGCATAACTGATCAGCCATGTGATTTTTCGTTCGCTCTCAGGGTTTGCGGCCGCGTCCTGCCTTCTGGAGGTGAACTCGTGTGGCATTTGAGCCGAACTCAAGACAAACTGGCCCCGTCACCTTGTAACTGCCTGGATGCAAAACAAACCGGATTACAAAGCACGGCCCTGAGATGTTTCTTGCCGTTCTGCTTGACTGACTGCTGTTGCTTCCTTGAGAAATGATACATGTGAAACATTTTCCCATCCACCTCTTTCAGAAAAGACAGAGATTTTGTTACCGACTAAACATTCCTGTCTTTGCCTTTGAATGGAGGACAATGGGGGCTCCTGGTTTCACTCTGATAATATTTCACGACTTGAAGAGAGTTAATATATTAATGACTGCAAGTTGTGTGGCAGTGCTGGTGAACAATTTAGCTCATTTTACGCAACCTGCAAGAGAACAGGTACATCTAGGAAATGCACCTTATATGAACGTATGTTTTTCTTAAATCAGTGAAGAAATATATAGAGAGAGATTTAAATATCTGATTCTCTAAAAACAACAAATAATGAAGGATGCAGATCTGAATCCTGATGGATTTCAGAGACAAAATCCTTACAGATTCCTGCAAGCATGATTTCTTTTTCTCTGTCAAAGCAGTCCTTCAGATCCTCCTTGCGGTATTCCTGAAGGATTCCTACAGGATAGCTTTCGGGAGTCTGGAAGGAATTTGACCTCGGAAGATTTTTTTCAGAAAAACCCATGGAATGTATCTGCGGATTGGTGCTGCGCTCTGAATATAAGCCAGGCTGGGCCGCCTGACTCCGACACCCACAGCTGCTGGGCAGTGGTTCCCCAACTGGAGCCTGCAGATGTCGGGGGACCCCAGAATAGCCTTCAGGGGCATTCCGGTGGGGGGGGTATCCACTAATTGGTAAACACTTCACCCCGAGATCAAAACGCTTCTCCTTACCAGAAAGGCCTCGACTGAGCTCAGTGAGACACGTTTCCCTGCCGGACGGTTTTGAATATTTCATGGTGTGTGTTATTAGCAATGCCCTACAGAGACCTCTTCTCCAGGGGATCTGCACCGCGTTCGGGAAACAGCCCTCAAAAACTTTCCCCCTCGATACCTAAGGACCGAGGACTGTCCCTCTGGTCCATGGGAACGACCCGTCTTTAAAGCGGACCCTCTGTCCAGATTCTCTTCTCCATGGAGCTGGTGTCCCCCTCAGGGGGACAGAGCGCCCCAAACCAGATCTGTGTGCTGAGGGGTGAAACTGCCTCGTCTGGCCCTGCACTGCTGTTACAGGCCAGTCTCTCATCCTGACCGCACAGTTCCTCACAGTTTCTACAGGCTGTCCGGGAGAGAGACTGTAAACGTACTACAGGCTGATAAAGTCTCAACTCAAGTAGCAATGCAGTCCCCCCCCACTAGAAACACACAATGAGTAACTTGTAACATTGCATCTGCTTTGTGTTCCCCATGGTCTGATCACAAATGTTTCACTTTGCATAACCCTTAGTGTTAATGGAGCAGAACATTGAGCACACAAGTCACAGAGCAGACGCCTGGCTAGGTATGAGTGCTCCATGACTCTGATCAAGGCGCATCGGAAACGTCAGACCGCCTTGTCCGGTTTAATAAGGTAGGTACAGTCAATGAGGTGAGCATTCAGCTCCCCGAGCGAGGCAACTACAGTAGTCCACACAAGAAGTTAAATATGATAGAAATCATGGTGGTAACGGGGAAAACAGTTTGCAAAAAATGGACAAAAATATTCAAAAATGCTTTGAGTGGATCTCTGTGGATTAAAACGATTAATTTTCCTTGTTCCAACCCTGTGTTCCCAGGCAGTAAGATTTATATGTGGGCCACATGAGCGTGGATATCGCCGAAACATCCCCGACTGCAGCACCGATTATGAACAGTGAACACAGACGTCTACCGCTCGGGTAATGTGTAAAGTGAGGTACACGTTGGAGATCGCTTAAGAAGGTTTTAATTACAACGTGCATAATCGCTCTCACTAACGCCACCGACCCCCTCGGGAGTCAAGACTGCGGAGTTTCGCGCCCCCAAAGAAGTTAAGACATGAAGCATTTAGGGTCCGAATTTGAAAAGAAAAACACGCCGTCTGCTCCACTGACTGTGCAAGCGCTAGCAAGTTAAGGCACTGAAGCGTCTTTTTACATTCTCTGGAAAATTGCTTACTTTGGCCGAGACACACAGCTCGACTTTTCTAAACTAGGTGACAGGCAGGCCTACTGATATAGCAAAAAAAAATAAACGCACGAAGTTTAAAAAAAGCGATATCTAAACAATGATGTAGAGGGACTTCTTTAAAAATGTATTTACCTTTCTAAAAACGTTTCCACACTTCGCAAAAGCATTTCGAAATACTTGTGGCATACTAGCGTCTATCAATAGCACAGCAATATAAACCCCTTGCATAGTCGCCACTAATTTAGCAATTTAAACATTGTTAAAAGTCTACTATTCGCCGAGACAGGACTGTGATACCTCCTGGACAGCTGTCACCGGCAACTGGCGAGTTAAAAGTGACATATTTAAAAATAAAAGGGGTACTTTGCAGGTTCTCTAGTGCCCGCTCGCCAGTTATTAACTTTCAAAGCTTTTAACCGATACCCCTTCGCTAGACTGCTGTTCAAGCAGTAACACCAGTAAGTACACACCAGGATTACAAACTCCGCAAAGGAGCCAGTACATAAAATACAGCCTTGGGTGAACCTTTAAACGACGCGTCCGAAAACCTACACGGACAAAACCGCTGTTACAAAGTAGAAGCGAGCGAACTGAATCCTCTCACACGGGCGACCCAGCTCTGCGGGCGTTGCGCTGCGCTGCGCATCACCGTGCTCGCCGGTGGAAAGCGGCGTGTCCCTGCGGGAGCCCGACCCCCGATCCCCGGCCCCCGGGTACCTGCGGCGTTGTCCCGGCTGTCCTTGCTGTCCGCGCCCGTGTCGGGGGCCCGCCGGTCGTTCTCGCACGACCCCTGGTCCAGGCGCGCCTCCGTGCTGGAGCAGCAGTACCTCAGCGCGCACTTGCCGCAGCAGATCGTGGCGTCCACGCTGTCGAAGCGCTCGGGGCACTGGAAGCCTTCCCGCCAGGCCCCCTGGCCGTCCAGCCCGCCGTGGCAGTACTCGCCGCTCGCCCGCACGTCGGCCACGGCCAGCAGCAGGGTCAGGGCGAGGGCCGAGCACAGCGCCGAGCCGTCGCCGCGCATGGCTGACCGCACGCCGGGCGCACCACAAGTGCGCGCGTTTGACACCGCCTGTCCTCTCAGTCTAGACGGAGGGACACACGCATAATAACATTCACAAAGACGGCGGAGGTCCTGTCATTCGGCGAAACTCCCCCGCGGATAAGGAGCTTGGTTCAGGGGGCGACACGCTAAAAGCTATAGATTGCGATCCCGCTGCTGTTCACAGATCTGAGCCTGTTGCACTTGAAGAAAACGGCAAAAAGGCGTTATTTAGCATGAGCCAACGAGTCCGTCCTTGCCGATTCCTCGACTGGCAGAAAGCGGCTGGTTCACATGCAGTTGTTTCGCGACTGGCGTGTGAGTGAAGTCCGGCCGCGGAAAAACAGCTGGTCCCCCGCCGGAGCGCAACACCGCCTGCGTGCTCTGCGGACGAGCACTGGGAAACAAACTTCTTCTCATTCAAAGTTTCGCCCGGGATCCCGGGAAGCGCACCCGAACGGACCGGTCACGTGTAATCCGATTCAGTTTTCCTTGTTGAAACGAGTTCCGTCCGTCTCCATCAGCCCGAGAAGCCGGTCTTTCCTCCGCTGCGCGACTGGGCAGCGCTCTACCAGCTCCAAAACCCGCTAAGAGCATTCCCAGAGCCAGCAGCGGGACACCTTGGGGACGCAGGAAAAAAAAAAACAACACCCGCTTGCGGGTTAACCAGAAAGTCTCGAAACGCACAGATCCCCTGAACCGCAGAAGAGAGCCCGAGTCTCCAACGTCTCCCGACACAGACTTCACGCTCATCAGTGTCCTGCGGGCCGGTCAGTGAGAGCTCACTCCCCTGTGCAAGCGCCTGGCTTGACCGCTGCCTCGCCGCCTCCTCCTCCTCCTCCGTGAGTCAGTGGGTTAGTCAGCGGGGGAGCCAGGGTCCCTCTTTTCAACAGCGGGCTCCGCACTTGCGCAGTGAGGGCGGCGCCTGCAGATGTCAGCGCTAACGAGCCCCACTGGCGTTTGGGTTTCGAGGGTCCTGCGAGCGGGCGGGGTTGCGGTCCCCCCCCCATCTGGGTGTGTGCTTCGCCCCTCGGGAGCTGCCGTTACAAAGGACTGGGATCCTGCCATTGTTAGGGGGCTCCGATTAGCAACGGCAGCTTTCGTTTGCGGGCGGAACGTCCCCCACGCATCGCCTGTAACTGTTGAGGGAGACGGTGTCGTCCCCTTGTTTTCAAGTGAGGGCTTTTTAATCAAGAAGAGGGACAAGGAGACAGCGGCAGAACAAGGTTCAGATGACCACTACATACAGTCACTCTTCCCCAGTCATTACTCTGCCCGCAGTGCTGTTTGCACCCCACGCCACCGGGCTACGCTCTTCGAAAGCATTCCCAGTACTTTAAAACCGAATGAAACGTTTCGGTTTTACAATTCACGTTAAACTCAACTAGTTTCGATTATAGCTAAGGTGTTGCCGATGTACTCTCTCGGATACATCCGCAAACATTTCAGGTACAGTTCAGAAACATCGGGTGAGCGATTCAGTCCACATCTTTAAAAGTAGGTAAATTAATTAATTACTTACACTTATATAGCGCTTTTCTGGACACTCCACTCAAAGCGCTTTACAGGTAATGGGGATCCCCTCCACCACCACCAGTGTGGAGCATCCACCTGGTTAAAGAAGTGTTATATAGGTATAAGTATAAGCGATCATCAGATTATCAAATAATAATTTAGAAAAGCAATACAAATCTACAACTGGAATCAAACGCATGTATTTTATTATTGGCAGTGTGCAAATGAATCTATTAAGAGAACAGAGCCACCCTCTGGATTCACCACCGCAAATTCTGCGCTGGGAAATCTTTCGGGAAAGATGTCCAACAGAGAGCCGCCAGCTCCACCATGTGGAAGAGAGGGGTACTACAACCACATAAAACGAAATGGGTTCTCTTTTAGAGAGGGTGCGAAGACGTGTGTGTGTGTGTACCAGGAGTGTTTCAGTAGGAAGTTTTTGAAGAATGCAGCTCTACGGTTCTTGTCTTAAGATTTCCATCTGCTATAAGTGACCCCACGTTTCCCCACTTTTTGCTGTTTTGCTAATGCTGTCACCCTGAAACCACTGGCAGCCCACTGGAGCTCAGCAGGCGTGAGCCTGGTCAGTACCTGGATGGGAGAGCTCCAGGCTGCTGCTGGAAGAGGTGTTAGTAGGGCCAGTGCGGGGCGCTCACCATGCAGCTCCTGCACAGTGATGGGGACACCATACTGTAAAAGAGGCACCATCCTTCCGATAAGGCACAAAACCAAGGTCCTGACTCTCCATGGTCATTATTTTTCCCAGGGTGATTCTCGAAAAGAGTAGGGGTGTAACCCTGCCATCCTGGCCAAATTTCCCCCTGGCCTTTACCAGTCATGGCCTCCTAATAATCCCCATCTCTGAACTGGCTTCATCACTCTGTTCTCCTCCCCACTGAGAGCTGGTGTGTGGGGAGCGGACTGGTGCATCATCCAGGTGGGGCTGCACACTGGCGGTGGAGGGGATCCCCATTACCTGTAAAGAGCTTTGAGTGGAGTACCCAGAAAAGCGCTATTTAAACGTAAGGATACAGAAAATGTTCCGACTGCGACGCCAGTGACATGCTAGTGCGCCCTCTGGTGGCCGTACATCTGAATACAACCTGGATGGCCTCAAGTACTGAACAGGCAGTCTGAGGGCTGTTCCACCACCATGTCACAGAAGAGATGACTGTCCTTGTTTTTTGCTGTGTGTTAATTGGCCACTTCATAGTAAACAAATTAGATGGACAGTCTGCCAATAGTAGTTTCACGGGCCTATATCCAGTATTCCTAAACCATGATTTCTAAGCTTGTTTTCCTTTAAAATTGTTAAAATTATTTCACATAGTTCAGTCATTTCTTCAAACTATAAATCCTGTCTTTTTGGCGCACAAGTTAAATTTAATTGGAGGAATTTTAAACAGATTAACCAATTTAGGTGCCATATTATGCAGCAGATTCCCAGTCATGTGCAGGGAGGAGTGCAGGGGCTGCCCACTATGACTAAAGCTGTTAAAAGACATTTTCAAGCAGCCGCCACCGACTGCAGGAGTTTATTTGGACGAACGTAATGAGATCATCAGCGGCACTTGGAGCTGTGGTGGCCAGCAGAACCAACGGAAGAGATGCTCCTGAGACCCTTTACCCAAAGGGGGTGGGAGTGTGGAACAGTCTACCCAGAACTGGAATGTTTGGATGAGTAGAATGTTTGGATGAGATCCCAAGATCAATTATCTGCTAACGCGCACACGGGCTAGATGAGCCGAATGGGCTTCTCTCTGTTCCAGTGGTGTCATATTACATTTACCCTCAGGCAGTGGTGGGGTCCTGAGCACTGTCTCGGCGTGTGTGTGTGTGCGGGTCCGAATCCCGCGGCCGGCAGAGGAATCCTCCTCCGTTGGGCCCAGGCTGTGTAAATGGCAGACCCTGCGCTCTGACCCCAAGCATCTCTCCCTGTCTGTGTGTCTCATGGAGAGCAAGCTGGGGTCTGTGAAAAGACAAATCCCTAATGGAAGAGATTGTATATGGCCAACAAAGTGATCTTATCTCATCTCTGATTGTTTGAACTCACAGAAGGAAAGAAAGGGACCCTGCAGGGCTTTGTGACATCAAACTCGAGTGGCTTCTGGTACAACCTTCCACACGCAACTGCAGGATGACGCGCAAAGCCACGCGGCCAGGAGGGGAGGGGAACCCCTTGTTAAACCACCCTCTCAAAGCAAGACAACACTGACACCTGCTGGTGGGGGCGTCCCCGAGCAGAGCCGAGGTGCAGCTTGGAAGCCATGAGACTGGTAGCAATCAACCTCCAGTCTGTCTTCAATGGCTGATGGTTTAAAAAGAGCTGTACACCTTGCAGCAGCCTGTCCTTCCAGAAGCCCATTCTAACACCTCTGCCCGAAAAAGACAAAACGTAAAAAAAGATTCTCTGAAAAACAACAAAGTGCACTATTTTCTTTTTTATTATTAAACATGGTTGCTCTGTAGTTGGAAAATACATGTTTACACATAAATTCTGGTACAAGTTTAGCAAAACGTATTTATCTATTTTGGTAACAAGGTACCAAGGGCAATTTACAAAAAAAAAACAACAACGGCGGAGTAATTTCATCCAGGAACTAAGAGAACTGAAAACACATCAACTCAGAAAACAAATACAACACTAGAGTCTGTCGCTGAAAGCGGGTCAGTCAGTGTGGCAATGAAACAAGACGTCATCGACGCATGGAGATTAAACACAAACGATAGCCAAACACCTCACGACAGGGACAACGAAAGGCAGGTCGTGATAAATCACTAAACAAAAGTTCCCTGCGGAGAAACACAAAATTGGTGAAATATTTTACATTCCTCTGATTTTGGATGATAGGGTCGGACTCTGCAGCCCAGTTACCCTACAGAGTTGTGAGCCTGGATTGCACAAACCTGCGTTTCATGATTTTGCTGTGCCACTGAAAATCACAACGCATTAGGAAGGTGGCGGACGAAATGTCAGAAATGACTCCTATTTCTCATGAAATCATAATCTCCGTTTAGATTCTATCCTGGTAGAAAAACAATGCAGGGGAGCTAAATGTAACCTGTGACATCGCGTGAGAAATCAACGCGCCCTGCGGGCCGTACGCCGGAGGTGAATTCTGGGCCGGGTTACACTGGTCACGCCACCTTACAGAGGCCCAGCGGCGTCCCCACAGGCAACTTCAGATCGCCACAGGCGAGGCCGCTCGCTAGAACGGCTTACAGACACTGTCCCTACAAACAAAAATCCTAAAAGAAAGGAAGCAAAACAACAATCGCCAGCAAAAACAAAACAATTGAAAACGCGCCCAGTTGGTTTTTGTACAAGCCCACCCCGAGATATAAAAATAGAAATCTTAGTAACAATGTGGGTGTGATGGCCACACCTTCCCTTCCTTTTACCCCCCTGGGCTCTATCTCTTGCCCCTCTTGTTGCCCGCGGGGGGCTTCTTCAGCTGCAGCAGCGGCCCTCCTGCCCCGAAGCCCGTGGCCGGCGCGCTGGGCATCCCGAAAGTCAGCCCGGCCGACGCCGTGATCCCCGTGTTGCTGAAGTTGAAGCCGGACGTGCTGGAGCTGCCGAATCCTGGGAGAGAGAGAGGGGGGGGACAAAAAACGAGAGCGTTCCAGACACCCCTCTTTCTAGAGCGGGGCGAGGGGACCACTCCCACGCTGCCCGTCTGCTAGCCCCGAGAGCTGCCAGCACCAGAGGCTGAGGGGTCCCCCCAGAGGGAGCAGGAGATGTGCTCCAGGGCCTGGCTCGAGGATTTAGCTGGGGACCCTTCTGCATTGAGGGCTAAGCAGCAGGGGGGGCCTGGCCTGGCCTGGCCTGGCCGTGAGGGCTAAGTGTCAATTCAGCACTGAGTCCCGAGCGGGAGAGAGAGTGTAATTTTCAAGAGATTTAAAAAAATAAAGGCTCAAGTAAAGCATGCCCGTTCAGGATGGGGTTTCAACGGCACTGCAGCTCTGCCATTTCTTTATCACGTACTAGGCAGAACAAACTGTTTCAGAAAATCCCATTCAGAATAAACGCCCTGCCTGCGCTCCCGGGCGGCAGCAGTTCACCGCGTGTCCATTTTTAGCAGGTCCTGCACGGGGAAACAGAAACTGCAGAGAAACACCGAAGACGGCTGGGAGGAATGGGCCGCAGAGAGCTTGGGGCGCTGTACGCGGGAGACAGATTGGGGCTTTCAAGAGGCGCGCAGAGAAGAGGGAGGGCAAGGAGGTAAACTCTGAGGGGTGGGGGGGGGGGGATTCAGACCAACCTGCACTGAGGCTCCCTCCAGAGGGCTTATTTGAAGGTGCAAATCCGAAAGAGGAGCCCCCACTGGTGACACTGCCGAAGCCGGGGCCACTTCCAAACGCTGGGAAAGAGACGAGCAGAGGGAGAGGGACCCCTCATTAAACCACACTCTCAAAGCAAGACAACACCGACACCTGCAGGTGGGGGCGTACCCGAGCAGAGCAGAGCAGAGCTGAGGTGCAGCTAGGAAGCCATGACACACAGGCCAGGCGTGCACAGTGCTAATTCACAGCACATGCAGGAGTGCAGAAATAACACACGAAATAAAACGGAGCAGTGTGGAAAAATAAGGGACACATGCCTTGTTAAGAGATACTGTCCTAAAACAAGCCTTGGCTTCCTCAAGGGCATTCATGGACTCAATCCCACTTGTAATGTCTAAGCTATAAAAAAAATAAGATCCAGTGGCTGCCTGCTGTATCTGGCCTCTGTGCCTCGCAGTATTAAAGTAGAAATCAGTAACAGTCCTGGCTATGCAGGTCAATGCTCTGCTCATGTCGCTCCAGTCTTGCTGGTGCACTGTCCCTCAGCGTCCAGAGACAGCAGAGCAGGGAGGGGCTGGAAGACCTCCTTTAGACTACAAGAGGTGGCCAGAGCTCCCGTCTTGAAAAGAGGGTTTAACTTCACCTCGGCTCCTCACTAACTTCCCTGAACAAACCGATGATTCCCAAACTTCTTCTTAGGCGTTGGTGACTGGTCCCTGGATTAAAACAGTACCTCTTCAGTAGTAGATTAATGCAAGCTTTAAAATGCGAGTTTATTCGAAGCACACAAAAAGCCAATATCTCGGCATTCCCAGAGAAAATAAAGTTAGAGGGTAAAGCTAGCATTCTGCTGTTGCAAACTGGTTGAGGATTTACTGTATACAAAGAAGACAGGCTAACCTAACTGGAACAACTATCTAATATGAAGGGCCAAGGAGATGAGTGGGCACAGGTCGCTCAGAGCTTCAAAGACCTGAGGTGCAGAGCAGTGCAGATGGCACAGGAGAAAGAGGGGGACAGAGGGTAGAGCACTGCTCTCCAACAGGCAGCTCCCACCTGCTAGAAAGACTGAAATAGCAGCGGGGTGTGCTGATGAATTCCCCTCCGTTTCTGGATTTCAACATTGCTTGAAACTGAAAACTGAGATGTTTCCGTAACACTTTCCAAGAAACCAATATAAGAAAAAAGTACAGCCATATCATTTGACCAAACTATCCATTTGGCTCAGCTGTCCCTATTAAAACAATTGGGTTTACAGAAAATTCTCAATTTAACGGTATTTATGAACACAAACACTATAGCCCTTTAAATCATTAGATGGCTGAGATTCTTTTGTGGGCAAATTATTATTAAAGTGAGAGGTTTGTCCACTGTAGTCAGGAAGAGCTCATTTCTAATCCCTAATAAAAGCAAAATTCTGCAGGCCGTCTAACCCAGCGTGGCCCTACACTTCAGCCTGGAACCATGTCAAGCAAACTATTTTATCATCTTATATTTGCAAACTAGATCATTAACACTAAAGGTTCAGTATGGGACTAGAGAGTAGCAGCTTCAAATCATAAACTGAAAACATTAAAACCTTCTAATATTACTGGTGGAATAGAAAGCTGACTAAAGCACATACATGCCGCAATTTTAACCAGCTGGTTTAAGGTAATGCGTGTATACATTTTTGTCTTCTGTTAATGTTTTATCAGCATTGAAGGTACAGCGGTTTTTAGTGTGAGGGTCCGGCAGCCCTAATTCTCCACTGTGCACACAGTAATGCAGTCTCTGTGCTTTTACCCTCTTCAGTCTTTTTTTCAGCTGGTGTTTTAACTCATTGACCTCAGCGAAGCATCACATTCAGCACAGTGTGGAGTACTCTGAAAGCCCACTTAAATTTCCTTACAAGTGAGAGGAAACTACCAACTAGCATCTGACCAGTTACACCCTTTCTGACAGGTTACAAATTGTAACATACCTTTTACAAAACACCTTATTTTTGTTTCTTACACGTGATTCACAGTGGAATTTCCAATGAGTATGAGCAGACAATTTCATTCTATTTAGTTGGAATAGTTACATATGTCATACATCTGTTACACCAGCATCTGCTTCTGACTGCCAGCTCTCCCTCTCTGTGGAAGCCTTTTTTTAAAATACAGTACTGCACTGCAGTTTATCAGATCAGCCTGTAAAGCTGTAATCATGCTACTTCAAATCTTTGGAATCCCAGTCTTTAAAGAACACTCTGCTTAGGGGTTTCAGTTTTGTTCTTGTTCACCTCAGATCTGGATTGTGCTATAATAACTGCAACAGTGCTTCTTATACTGTAGGCTGATCATATTGTTTTGCCCATAATACACTTATTGTTTTGCTTATAAGCCTGAGTAACTCAAGAAACACCCTCTGAGATCTGGGTTCAGTGCCTCTAGTTCAGGATGTAAAACCTTCTTAAGCATATGGGGCACAGTGATAGCCTCCTCTATCTCAGTAGGATGGGTGACCAGGAATAAAAAAAGACAAATTAGGAAAGAGTTATAGCTATCATTTTTAAAGGTAAGCTGATGATGTAGACTGTCGCTACTGCAATGCAGTACAGTGCAGACGGCAAGCTACTTTAAACATTTTCTAAGCTCTTTACAAAAGAAGCTGCTGTAGACACACCTGCCCTCCCCAGAAACATCCTCCTACAGGTCAGATGTTTCTCCGGAAATTGAAGTCCGGTACATTTTGTGATTTCTGCTTACAGGCCAAAAGGGACAGTGGGGTGAGGGTGGGCAAAGCTAGGCTACTGTAGCTGCATGGATTTTATTTTATTTTTTTAAAGGCAAATAAGACAGATAAAACATAGAAGAAAGGTTAAAATGTACCTCCGAGGCCTGAAGAGCCTAAGCCACTTGACTGCAAGCCAGTGCCAATACCTGAGCCGAATGGCGCGCCAAAACTAACTCCCAGGGACGGCTGTGTTCCTGGCACAGAGAGATCAGAAAACGAGCCTTACTCTCCCAGTTCATCGACCACCACACAGAACAACTCGCCGCAGGAGCTGGCGGAGAACTGGGGTACCGCACAGCAGCAGGTCAACCTTTAAACTTCATATAAAGAGACCGACTCCTTAACCTCAAAACTCACTTATCCCCCCCCCCCCCCAATTAACCTTGTGTGCAACGTCTGTTCTATTTTTACCTCATCGTGATCAAAACTGGAAACTGAAATGCAATGCCAATTTCGCCATTTTGCCCAGCAGTCTGGGAAGGAATATGAATTAAATGGAAAGGGGGGGGCTTGTTAATAATTTTCCTGTATGACTGCAAAGACTGCAAATGTTCGTCACAGAAGTGAATGTTGTAGTAAGGCACAAAAGGGACCTGCGTTCCAAAACGAAGTGTAAGCTGCTAACTGCCCCTTCTATAAGAATGCTAGGAAAGTTTAATGCATTTGGTTGGAGATCCGCCAATATTTACCACGGACCAGAAACCAAAAATAGAGAATGCAACTAGTGGTACACAAAGTTGCATTTAATATTTTTTCCATCCAATTAAGGGAAATAAATTTGACAATCAAAAAGAAACAAGACAATGGCTTTCTTTAATTGATTTATTGTCAATTTAAAAGCAATTCAATTACATTAAACATGACAAGACAGTTTGAGACAAAAACTTGGTTTAAAATTCTATCCGATTTCTACTGTTGAACAGAGTTTTGGAAGCTTCATGTGCCAAAACCGAACTACAAACACTCTCGTTATATGCATCGTTTAAAGGCACACCTTTGCTATGCACCATCAAGCAAGAGATTTAATACAGCCACACTCATCTAAACAAAACACGCCTACCAAATTTAACAAGACAAACCCTTTTGGCTTTTGGTGATGCTTACACTAGCCCCAAACTAAGCAGTTTCAATGGCTAAGGACTCAAACAGAATGCACAAAAATAAAAGTCAAGATATCAGTTAACTGGTGAACAGTTTTCATTTGGTTTCCATGTAAATAACCAATTTAAACACCATGATTTTGTTGTGATTCCAATATTTCTACTACAAAGATAAAAGCTTTCAACTCCAGTGGCAGTTCATTCCAGTCATGATACATGCATGGTCAAGACTTCAGCTGGCACAGCTAAGACTGCCATTACTTACAGAACGATGGACCTTTACTATTTAACTTGTCCAAATTGCAATAGAAAACAAAAATAATACATTTTCCCCAGAACTCGTCTTTAAAATTAAATCTGAAATAATAAGTTAAGTTTTGGAGTCCTTGCCCTTGTAATGACAAGGCTTGGTCTTGTAAACGACAGGACCTATTCACAGAAAAACAGAGCCAGCCTCAGCATGAAATAACACTGGCTGTTTTGGTAGCCAGTTACCAAAGGGAAACAATTTACACATCCTGCTTATCTTATTCTAAACCTTATGCTTTATTTTTATGTCAAAACCATTTACAGTACAGGGAAACAACACTTTACCCTTTAAGTCATATGATGTCAAAATGTACAGGCTTCAGGTCTCAAGTATTGTTTTAAATGTACTTCTTCCTTTTCACTTTGTTCTGATTTATTGAGCACGGAAAGGGTTTGAAGAATTACAACTACTGTAATTAATGCCGATTTAACTACTGCTTTAAATAAGAATTTATAAAATGTAAGATATGTGCTTTGGGATTACAGTGATCTTGCAAAACAGTCAAGTCATATAATTACTGAGCAAAGCAATGACAAACTAAAAAAAGTTTCTTGAAAGACTAACAACACACAATTCTTCCTTGTACAGCACTGACCAATGAATCCCAGATCCAGTAATGTATAAGTTCTCAGTCACTACTTATGAGAAACACGTTTATAAATTACCTAAAATTCACAATGTCATGTCAGAAAATAAAATAACGTCACAATTAAAGTGCAAATGTCCCAGGCGTATACTGCTGAATAGTCCCCTAAGTGAAATAAGCAGATTGGGTATTCAAAATGGGATTCAGTTAGTTTAGCAGTTAATAAACCTGGACAACCAAGAACGTGGATCCCACATGGGATAGGACCCAGAGGTTTTGCAGGGTTAAAGTTCCACATGTGAACGTGACAAGGCCAGCAATGAATCAAGCCTGTGAAGACTGGCAGGGTCACTGCAGGAACTAACCTGCAAACAATCACACTTCAACTAACTGACAATTGGCACATTCTCAATCACATTAATGGAAAACAAAGTATCTCAATCTGCAGGAAAGGCTGGCCTTTTCTAGTCTAATATTGGCGCTAAACATGACGCTCATTTTAAAATCTGGGGTCCTTTATTGTAACACATTGTTCCCTCAGCAGTAACTGAATGAAATGGGGAGCTTGCCCACAGAGGAAAACTCTGGTTCTTGGTTCTGATACTCTCAGAGCAATTAGAAGTTTACACAGAGACATGTTTAATGAGTTTGTAGACAGGCTGACCAGCCTATTTAGTGCCTTATACAGAACTAGATATATTCTGGTTTTCTTGGACAGACAAAGCTTGGTCTGCTCTGCAAAACTTAAAAGCAGCAACAACAAATTGATATTTATCATCCACCACATTTCAGCAAGTAACAAGATCATTCAATCCTGTTATTTCCACTCCACAAAATGATGTACAAACACAAAACTGTAATTCCCAGTTTTTAAACCACTTTGAGAGAAAGGAGGCAACTGCTACTGCACATGAACTTGCATGTTTGATTTAGTTAATATTCTATTACTATTGGTTAAGTAGTGTGAAATGTACAAATCAGGTCAGCGAAGGACCAGATCCATACTGTTCAACTGATTCATATATGTTTTTAAAAAATGCACAGTGACTTTAACCTCTATTTATACATTATATATTATACATCAAAATGAAACAGTAAGAACTGTTGAGTTTCTGGGTATTAGGCACCAAAACAGTCTGTGCCCAACAACACCCCTAAACCACAATCAGAAGTCTCGAATACAGGAATGATTATTCATGCAATTAAAAGTACATAACCATACAAAATCTCGACAGATTTTAAGTGATTTTAGTAGTCTAGAGATCAGTCTGTAGTAAGTGCGAAAGATTACAGAAAGCATAACTTGCACTCTTTAATTCAAGAGTACAGCTCCTAAAGACCAATTGTGTTGCAGTTTTGAAAATGATTCTACTTATATCTTTGTTTGTCTTGAAAACTTTCAAAACGTGCATCTCTGATTTTTGTGGAGGCCATTGAAAGTATCTTTAATTTCGACACTACAAAAAGTTAATTTGCATATTTATGTGTTTAGACTGATTCAACCGTATACAGCTCAGCCTTCCAAACGAGGATAAGCTTGATTTACTAAACGTCTCGCTAAGACTTTCTTTTTATCGATTGTACAAGACACGACCAAAGCAGCTTCATTTCAAAATATTCTACATGTTCAATACCTTTAAAATGTAAACATTTAACAGGTCTAAACTATGGTTAATTCTACTTTTGCCAAGGCCAAACTGCAAAAATGAACCAATATTTTTAATAAAAATAAGCAGTTCAAGATCAAATCAACTCATAAAAGCAAAAAGGCCAATATTCTTGATTAATACTGCCAGAATAGTCTGCATTTTTTTAAAAATCAAAAATTGTTTAATAAATGTCCTTAACAATCTTCCCTCGTCAGTGGCTGCTTGATGCCAACATAGCTTATAATACAATGTTTCTAGTTATTGCTTAACTATAATGAACACGATAAGTCACATGCAAAATTGAACACTGATTCAGGGTGACTGTTCAATTGGCACTTTAGAATTCCACTCAAAAACAGAGCACTTTTAAGAGGCACATCACGTGCTTTCATGTAAACAAAACAGGATTACAGCAAATATGGCAGAAAAGTAAAATTCAACAATGCAATACATTAAAAACTTGTGATGGCACAAGCTCGAAAAATATCCTAACCTTTTATAGATATTACAGTAGGTGAGCACATGGAAATTACTCTACATTATTTAGTGGATGTTCCTAATCACTAAAGCACAGCAAGCTGAAAGAATGACAGGCTACACAATTTTGCTGTGCATAGTCTTGATATGAACACAGACAGCCTCACTCTGGATACCTGAAGCAATACTCTGAATGAACCCCAATGACAGTAGTTTAGATCACGTAAAAAAATAAAGTAATTATTGCTCAGCCTACCCTCCATTTCAACACCCTGCAGGTTCAAAAGTTAAAACAAAAGAGCACCTCGCAAACTATGGAACACTCCCACAGCAAATGTCAAACGAGATCAGGTACATAAGTATCTAAAAACAGGAGTCCAAGGTGGCTGAGAGCATCTTGCTACAAGAGGCTTGTTCTGATTTCTGATCTTTGGCTGCTGTTGACCCTGCCCACTGCACAGACCTACTGTACCACATCACAGGCACATGTTCACTTCCTTGTCATGTTTATTCCCCGCGATAGCTGGGGGAAAGAGGACTGCACAGTCCTGCCTCGGCTCAGGTTAGCCTTGGAAAGCAAGGCTCCTCCTTCCGAAAAGCAAAGCGAACGAGAAGACAGGGGGCTCCCAACTGGACAACAGCTGGATTGTGTTTGCTTTGCGTTTTACAACCCTCCAGCTCTGGTTATGACAGCGACATACTTATCATAAAGTAAAATGAGTTAAATAAGCGACCATGGGGTTTTCATCTGCAGGAGAACCAACAGCTCAGTACAGGTGAAACATCGCACCACTGTGCAAAAGCATCCATTCCGTAACCATTCATGATCTATGATGGGGAAAAGGAGGTTAAGCTGGATTGAAGAGACTTAAAGGTCCTATTTCAGTTACTGGAGACAGTTGCTGCATCTATTCATTGTACCCCGTCATTGAGCAAATCATTGTACCCTGGTCACCGATGCCTAAACCGCAGGCTGAGGAGAGCTCTGGTGCAGAGCCAAGAACACTTCACCACCACGTGCATCTGTGCAGACTAGTACAGCAAGACAAACAGCAACGCACAGTGCTCCGCAACTGCTTCACAGGAGACAAGAAAACACTTTCTTCCCGTTTGATACTCTATGTTTTAAGGTTGAGAGCTGTTTTTCACCACTGCGAATTTTGATCGAGGCGTTCAACAGGCTAATTCAAGTAAGGCGTGTGTAATATCGAGAGGTGATGAACGTGCACCAGCAGCCTTCACAAAAAAAAAAATAAATAACACACTTGGAATCATTCACTTCACTACCGAGATTTGTTTCATTAGAAACTTTCTCCACCTCAGATGCTGGAAACAAAAAAGAAAAATAAATAAGAGCACACAGTTCACAAGTCCAGTTTGATCACCTTACAAACTATCCTGCATCTCTATGCTTATTAAAGAGCTTTAGCAAATCACAGCATTTCCACAAACTGCAACCATACAGTATGCTATGTAAGTGCATTATTTTCTAGGATGAGTCAGAGGCCAGTCAGCCACATGCCTATCCTGTATCGAACAGGAAAGAGAACTAAAATGAATTGACTGCCAGGATGATGTCCTCACTCAGAGGCGCGACTGAGGAGCTAATGTTAGTTAGCTCCCCCCCATGTAGCTCAAGAAGCAGAAAGAGCCAATTCCTCCAATTCCATACCGAACTTTTAAAGAAAGAAAAGGGCAGACTGGAAACTGAAATTGGCACAAGCTCAGCTGTTGTTGTTGTTTTTTTTTTATTCCTCGATCTCACGATACATGTCAATCTATAACTTGAATGCGTTCAGACCTGTAGCAGGCTGTTGCTGCTGTGTAAGAGTCGCAGCCATGGCAACAGCCGCTGCATTCGGAACAGTGCTGAAGGGGGCGGGTCCTGTGGTGACTCGTGGGGCGCTCTCCCACTTCTTATTGGCTGCCCGCTTTGACTCAAATACATCTGTGGAGTCTTCCAAGAAGGCTTTCCTGTAGCCCAGGTACTGGTGCTTCAGGATCTACACAAGAAGGAGAAAAGGGCACACTCACTTTGGAGAAGGAAACCACCACGAACACCCACAGTACAGTTTGCTACTGTCCGCTGCCACCAAACATACCCACTAGATCATCCCTATACACCACAGTACATATGCAAAACATGTCAGCCTTCACATCCCAGAAAAACAGCCATTAAAAGTCTACATCTGCCCTGTTCACTGCTTATCTTCTGATCTTAAAATGTGGTCTCCAATAACTCGGGGGCACAGCAAACATTCTAGAAGAAACCTTCTCCTACAGGGTAAATTAAATATTCTTCATTTTTATTAACCCCCCAAAATAAGCATAGTGAACAATAATGTAAGAATGATCTGTCCAAGCTGATCTGGGTGATAATAACATGCTCTTTGCTCAGTAAAAGTTCACATCACTCACCTTCACATTCTCGTGGACAGACTGCAGCTGAGCAGCAACGGCTACAAAGGTGTGATAAAGCTTCTGCATGGCCAGAGAAAGATCTGCAAAATCGCGTAGCGTCAGAATCACACACGCAGCACGGATTAAACTGAAAAAGAACAAACCTGAACTGCTCTGCTAAAACCACAATCATCAAGGTTAGCTCTGATGATTCCTCTTTTGAGCCTTCTCAAATACCCTGTTCATAATTAATAAATAACCAAACCAATACAGATCATAAATGTGGACTGTGGATCCTTTACAGCTTGTGATAGCTCAGGATGGTGAACTAACCTGGTAGAACCTGTTTTTTTAAGAAAGCAGATCAATACTTTCACAGACAGAACAGAACTGTATGATTACAGTAAATAACCTGATGTCAGGCACTTAAGAGACTTTTGAATGAGCATTACATGCTTTCATGATTGACATCAACAGGTAGCACCGGGGTGGAGGAGATGATCATTACCTTGAGGCGTGATGTGGGAGCTGCTGGCCTGAGTCGTGAGGTGGTTTTCAAGCTCCTCTATCTGCTGCCTATATTGCTGCAGCTGCACTTCAAACTGTTCAACCAGCCCACGGAAATAGCTGTCGGGGGAAACACAAGGCCAAAAATCTTAAGTTAGCTAATACCTCCAACTCAAGTCCCACCACCTTGGACAGTGTTCCACTAAGTGGTTTTGGGCCTCAGAATGTGGTAGCTAAAGTAAGAAATAAAGGAGTAGTCCAGACCATTATGTCACCATTGTGTTCTACCCTAGAGCAGTACACATCCTTAACAACTAACAATGTCTCGGTTTCTGCACTATGCACTTCTTGCAAGGCTTACCTTTTTGTTTCTTTCACTACTACATATTCATAGTTCTGGCTGAATTATTTATTATGTTGTAATGCACAGTCTACATCGTGTGGCACTATCTGTTGTAGTGTGTCGTCTGCTGTACTGTGCATGTCCTGAGAGATCAGCACGAATAAGAATTCCAATGTACGTGTGGTAATAAACTCCTTTAATACTACCAATCTCTACTCTGTTGAGCAGCTTGGATCCAGAGTCCTGATTTTACTATTAGACCTGGAGCACAACAGCAGTCTCAGTCATTCAGCTTTACACCAGCAACTGTGCGAGACCACAGAGACTGACAAAGAGCAAGAGAACTCACTCTGCAGGTGCTGTGTTTTCATGCTGCAAGCCCGGAGGGGTCTTCTGTGTGCGCAGAGCTATATCTGCGTTCTTCAACTCCTGTGGAAAAACAGACAGAACCATTGAATTTAAAAACCATACAAGCCTCAAACCTTAAACATTTCACCACCTACTTTATGTGCCTCAGCTCAGCGTGATTAAACTAATACAGCCACAACGTTTGTCTTAATTGCTATAATCCTAGGAAAGGTTAACTCTTTTCACAACACATATATCAAGTTTTGTTGATAATTCACACTTTTTTGCATACAACTCCACAATCAAATTAATGACAACTGGTTAACAAACAAACTGATGACATGAAATGGGACACTAGGGCTCTGCATGTCCATTACAGACTGCCAACTGTGCTGTTCAAATAGGCTACCTGTCAGGGCACTGTTAAGATTGCAAAGGAATGGGTAAAGGTTTATTATATGCTGAAAGGAGAAGAAAAAGGGCATGTTTTGGCTGTGGAGCTTCTTCCATTTCTTTTCTTTTCAGCATAGAGTAAACCTTTACCTGTTCCTTTGCAGTTCACTCATGCTAACACAGCTCCACACCCAAACGTCTTCAGCTGTTAAAGACTGCCCACTGAAACACCGAATTGAGGAGAGTAAAGGGGAACAGCTAGCTTCCTAGCCCAAGTGCCATGTGAATCATGCACTTCAGGACCGGCATGCCTACCTGCGCGGTTTCTATCTTCAATTTATCGATAGACAAGGAGTTTCTCTGCAGCCCGCTGGCACAGACAGACAGCAGCTGCTTAAGGCTCTTGATGTCTTCCTCCACCTTCAGCATTGCTTTGGAAGACATGCGGCTGATTTCCTCTTGAACTTGCTTCTGCTCCTTGACAAACTTTCTGCAGGAAACACAAAAGGAACAGGGAGTAAACATCCTGATCACACTGTGGGAATCACTTTCCACCGTAGCTTGTCCTTGATTATGCTGTGGTTTATGGGGAACTGACACCTTTTTACAAAAATGCAAGAGCAGAGCAGAAATGCTGGCAAGGAAAGGAAAGGCGAAGACTCGTGTCCGTAGCTGGACTACTTGCACCAGGGAGAAGGAGGTACATTTGGCACCCGAATGCATCATTCTTCTAGAGTCATAGCATTGCTAGCTCACAGAAGAACACCACCAAACTCTAGATCTTACAGCCCTTAATTCCTTTAAGGGTAGGTTATATTGCTATACATTTAAGTGTACAGTACGAGAACACAGTAACCCAACTTACTGAAAATTGTCCACATCTTGATAGATAACTGGAGGTAGATTTTCATCCTTTAATGCTTTACTATCCCTGAGCACAGAGAAAAACATAAATTAATTTGTAGAATACACACACTGTTCTCATAATACAGCACATCCTCGGTCTCTGAAACCCAGTGCTGGGCTACCCCAGCCTGGTCATTATGATACAAGAACCTTTCCACACCACACGTGACATCAAAAAACCATTTAAATTAAACCAAATTTGAACTTACTCTGGTCTTGCACCCGATTTATCACCTGTTGAAAAAGAAAAAAGTGTTTTCAGCTTTTTAAATACCTGCAAAGATTATGTTTTCTAGGCTACCAGAACTTACTTTTGTGCCATCACAAATGCCTTCAAGGGATTAATGAATTGGCTTATTTATTGTCTATATTAAGTGTATTGGCTTACTGCAATTTGGCCATGAATTTGGGTCACCATTATATCATACTCCTTTGGATTCTTTTAAGAGAAGAGTAGCAGGTTCAGGAAAACAATAAGGTTGGAACTATGCCATGTATATCTGCAAACCAATCAGATACCAAAGGACAATAAAAATGAAAACGCATTTAGAACACCACTGCTGTTTCCAGTCAAGCCTGCAGAAAGCGAAGAGGGATTCTTACTCTTCTTCTCAGAGGAGGTGCTGAAGTCAAGCCCTCCAAGGCCAAGGCCGGCAGAGGCCACCGGAGCGCTGGAGGTGGCAGAGCCCAGAGCGCCCAGGCCTAGCCCTGCAAGACACATGGACACAATGTGCTTTCAAGCAGTGTTTGAGAGAGAGAGGGGGGGGGCAATCCTCATAAGCCATTGAAGTAGTACAGAAGCACTAGCACAATAAAGGAGCTTCAGCATTCCTTCCATAATTTGTTTTGTTTGGCAAAAGGTGGCAATTGTTCTTTCTCTCCCTTTTGCTCATCCCATTCAATATACATTACATCAAAGTATAAGATAGTACACACAGGTGTACCCAGAAATACAGCGCATATGGAACGATGTTCTCCACTCACACACAGTCTTTAAGAGTAAACCTGCACATACAATATGACTTATAAACCAATCTCAGTCATAATGCCCCCATACCCAACAGCTAGGACTGGGCTATCCCACCTGTGGCAGCTGTGTTTTGGAACAGGCCAGAACCGAGACCCGCCAGAGTGGAGCCCAGCGTCAAGCCAGTGGAGCCTGGGGCAGACGTCAGGTTAGTACCACCCAGGTTCAGTGCAAAGCCGGTTGAGCCTGTGGGCACAGAGAGATTCATTCAAAAAAAGCCAGGGAAACAATAGAAAACATATACCGATGTTAAACCTAAAAAATAAACTTGTTGAGAGCAGTAACTAAATATACTCCTTTAATAAGGAGTGCTATGTAAGTGCTCAACACCTTGTTAGTCAAGAGTCTAAGGAAACACTAGTTACCTCACTGAGTGTCTCTGTGTGAGGACTGCTCTTCAGAAAATCAGACCATCTTAAAAAAAACTCAACGCACATCTCCATCTTCGAACATGTATTGAAAGTGAAGAAGGGCAGACAGCATCTGCTAATAACTGGTTAACTTGATACCTTAACTATTGTGATCTTACACATGTTCTAAAGGATCCCATAAATCAATTAGTACCTGTTTTTAATGTAACACTTCCGACCAAAAAGTTAGCATTAGGTCTGGGGATGTACTGTGCCTTACATTTACAGCATTTGCTTTTTGGGATTTTACTTGGAACGGGTAATTACATTTGCAAACAGTCACAGCAAAATTTTAAAGACGTGAACATACAAGTCAAAATAAAGCCAGCCTGCACCCCAAGCAAGGACGAGCACAGGGCACGACAAGACCAGCACATTAAAGCACAGAGCCTGGGCTCAGAGCAGCCAGCTCCAGCAGCTGGAGCCACATACCGGTCTGGGCAGTGGACGAGGCGATGCTGGAGCCTAACGTGAGGCCCCCCGGAGCAGAGGAGGTTACAAGAGAGAAGGGCGTGGCAGAAGCTGCCGGTTTGTTGAAACCCAGAGTGAAGCCAGTGGTAGAGGCAGTAGTGGTGGCTGCTGGGGTTCCTGCAGACAAGAAAAGAACAGCAGATTTAGGTTCATTCTGTACACAATGCCAGAGTGATGCAAATGTTTGGGCCTTTATATCTCGTACAACTGGGCATGAATCACGGTTTGACGGTAAGCAACACATTCATATGAAAAGAAAGACCAATACATTTCAAGCCCACAAAGCATTCAGTTCCCACTTTCTAACTAATACACAGGCTGCAACTAATAACGCTTTTGCAAAACACAGAGTGGTGACAAAAAACCCACCTAGTGTCAATCCTGTCACAGGTCCTGTTGCTGCTGTTCCTGCCAAAACAAAATATCAGTGAATAAAGAGGCAGCTTAATCTGTAGACACAGAGGCAACGGTGCCTCACATTATCCTTCCACATCTACACTGGACTTGTACATGTGTTTTTAAACACACTGATGGACGTGTCCACACTGAGGCCCGATGCAAAATTCCCACACTTCATCCAAGTGCTGAAGCTGGGAAATCTGAGCCCACGTCTTGAGCTGGTTGTGATGCATCACTGCTGAACGTCTTAGCATTTAAGAAATCCACTGTGTAGCTTTAATTCAATTGTACTCAAACCATTTCGTCCGATAACAGCCACTGATGACAGAATGCAGCGAGACATTGTATGGACTCGGTTTTCCTGAGTGTGTGAGCACTAACTGGGCTGAGAGGGCTAGGGATACGGGACAATAACCCAGGAACCATGAACATTCCTCACAGGTTTTTAACAAGAAAATGCGAGAATTTCCCGTAGCTTAGGTAGCGTACCGGAGGCAGGAGTCCCGAACGCGAACCCGGTAGCCTGTTTCTGCGGGAAGACGGCGCTCCCAAGAGACAGGGAGGAGGCTGTGGTGGTCGTCGTGGCAGTGCCCGAGGCTGTGGCAGCACCCAGAGTGCCCAGGCCGAAACCCCCGGTCCCTGTAGGGTTGCTGAAAACAATACCAAAAGAAACCTTCAATAACCAGGGCATCCACACGGTATTGTGACATCATGACAGCACGCATGCATGCACCCAGCAGACAGTGAAGCCACCATCCCTGGAGCAACTGCCACAGAATACACAAACACACACAAGACACTAAAAGGGCAACCGCCAGGTTACACCCAGTGCACTGAGACTTCAAGGACGTGGGCACAAAACAAAGCACACGGGAGGCTGGAGAAAAGTATTTCTAAATCACTTGCATTAGATCTGTGAAAGGGCTTTAAATCACTCAGAGACTAAACAGGTAAAGTAACCAACAAATAAATAAATTTCTGATCTTTGGCTGCTGTTGACCCTTCCCACTGCACAGACCTACTGTACCACATCACAGGCACATGGTCACTTCCTTGTCATGTTTATTCAGAGTTGAAGGACCTTCACAATGAGGATGTATTCACTAGACAACACTTGTTAAGTCTATACTAAAAATTCAGAAGTGTGAACTAGAAAGGGAAGTACTATAAATTAGTCTCTCTATCCAATGACCGAGATACAAGAAGGACCTTAAAGTGGGGGAAATGCCATCTCCGACAAAGATAACCCAACCCCAGTATCATGTACATTAGAACACCTGAGCAAATTAATTAAAATACT